AATAAAAAACACAAAAAATGTTTTAAAACATGTTTTAAAACACAAAAAAATAAAAAACATGTTTTTTGCCATCCCTAGTGTGGAGGCCCTAACTGAATCTGAGGGCGATTATACTATGCATTAATTTTCATATATTTTAATGTACTTTTAAATAATAAAAAAAATTTTTCCCTACCATATCTCTGTGCCGAGTTATGGGTGCGGGGAAACTTTTGTCGGGCACTGTATTTGTGATTAAATAGAGGGTTTTTAATAATAAAATAAATGGTATATAATATAATATTGTGTGATTATATAGAGTTTGTGATTGTATAGGGGTGATTATATAGAGGGTTGACTGTATATATTTTTTTAATGATCGCTACATATAAAAAAGACAGGGCATTACTATGTTAATCAGTGTTGGCATTACTGAGTTATCTGAAAAGTGGATTCACCCTATTTTGCCGACGCCCATTTTAACAGACATCATATGGTGACAATTAAATGCTAACCCCTATGTGAAATTGGCTGTAGGTTCAAATCGGTCCTCAATTTACAGACCAAAAACTGACCGTAACATCCCTAATCATAGCATTACAACAGTACGTCAAAACTTTCTCTTATAAATAAATTCAATGTCATCTATACATGTATATACAGTATAATGTACTGTATACAAAAAGAACTCTGAAATATAAATGCGTAGTTCACAAAAAGTCCATATAAATAGAAGAGGAAAGATCTAAGATCATACTAACCAATAATACAAGAATCGCAGACATACATCCTTGGTATTAATAATAATACGATTTTATTGACTATGCTTATTGCGCAATCGGACCATATGAATAATATTTAAAAATCAAAAAGATGTACAATTCTTTATGAAATAGTCTAATATTTAAATGCATATTTTACATTATAATTTGGTTGTCTAGGAAATTTTTGTGAACGCATCTTTTATCTGTCGAAGCATCTATATTTATAACAATATCAAAGTCATTAACTTTACATAAATTTAATAATGATCGAAAAAATCATCTAATAAATTTCTTAATCTGCCAAGCTTGATGTAACATAGCCTTAAGAAGGTCTGGATAGTTCCATCCTATGCCATTTGCAGCTATACAACTTAAGCTACTTTGTATATTTCGTCCAGGGCGGCCAGGTCCTGTCATATTAGGTTTCATATTTATATCAAACAAAGCAAATGGTTTTTCTGATGCTACCCTGCGACAGTCTATACGAATTGGTGCTAATGGTCTCATAATTTGTGCTACCTTTTCACAATCTTGAGCAACTCTTTTATATACTGGGTTTTGCATTTCCTCATTGCTTACAAGTGCACTGTTTTCGATTACAGCAACAACTCCATTATATGGAGCAATACCATTATTGTGATTAAATCTCTTTACTAGTGGTAAATGCCAATATTTATTATGGGTGATAGTTTTAAAGTTAACATCGTATATTCCAGGTGGCATAATGGTAACTGTTATTTCTTCTCCTTCTAAATATTCTTCAAGAATTAAAGTATCACCATACTCAGAACAATATTGGCCATCAATTATAGTTATAGTAGACAGAAGCTTTTCTGCATGCTCTTTCATCTGCTCAATAGAATCAACCTTTCTAACACCCTGACTTCCTCGGCCCCATATTAGAGTTTCTTAAATACAAGTCGGTCCGTGTTTTATCATGTTTTTTCCATAAATGTTACATACGTATT